AAAGCAATGTATGATAGGGTATTATGGTTATCACAAGAGTCCACAATTAAGGTTGCACATTGGAATGTATTTGGGGCGGTGGGAGGGGTGCGGGGGGATTGTGTACCAGGGAAGGAGTGTTTCTTTTACTTTTGAAAGAGAGGAGCGAACTGGGTGGGGGGAGGGCTGAGTGGGGAGAGAAGTGCATCAATGAATGAATGGAAATCCAAAATCTCTGTAAATGCTCATTAAAATTATTTTTTTAAAAAGTACAAAAAAATTATTTCAGTGTTTCAGAGCAGCAGGGCCTAATGCGAAGGCATGGTTCTTCCCTCTCTCTCCAAAGGAGTGGGGTGCAGTTGCTCCTGGAGTTAGGATAACAAAGCAAAGACATCCCCCTGCCCCAGTGACACTGGTCGAGCAGGAAGCTGGGAGCATCAAACAGGATGGGGAGCCCTCAAGTCCTGAGTCCCTATAGCACTGTCACTCACCCACCATTTGAATCTCAAGAAGGCAAGGATAAAGAGGGTCTAAAAGGTCAGACCTTGGCTTTCCAAGTCAAAGAAACACTTCCAGTTCGGCTGCATGCTAAAGTCCACAGTTTAAAGTGTGCTCCCTTTGGTTCAAGCCGTTGTCTTCTTTTCCAGTGCAAATAATTTTAAAAAACGGCCTTGCATTGGCCCTTCTCAATATTTTATGATTTGGTATGAATTCTTTCATCAGATGTTTTCCTGAGGGTGGATACTGGGAAAGGCTGTTGTTGTTGCTGAGGACCACAGAGTCGGGTCCAACCCATAGCTGGCCCTCCAGTGAGGGCAATAAATCGCATGGGAGTTGATTGTCCATCCACCTTTCTCGTTCACAGAGCAGTTGGTGGACCCAAAGCACGTGCCTTTGGGTTGGTAGCCCAACTCCTTACCACTCAGCTGCCAGAGCTCCTACTAGGAAAGGAGGGAAGCCACAAGGCCGTGAAGAGACGCTGCACAAAGGCATGGAGATGGCACGGCACAGCTTCCCCAATGTCACGCTTATGCCTGGAGCCAGACAGTACTAGAGGGGGCGTGGAAACAGGGGCGTGCATTCAGGGAAAGTTCTCTCCGACACAGAGTCAACGCATCATCAACATGCCACTCACAGGGAGACACAGCCAGAAACAGCCGTAATCCCAGAGTCCGAGTGAAATGTGTACTGCTGGGCAATGGGCATCTGAGAGATGCAATCAATCTGCCCTGTTGTTTCCACTTCTCCATAATGCCAATCTTGACATCCAGAAGAGAATTGCTTTTTTTCCCCCTGATAGCAATTCATGCTTTGGAATTGACCACAATGCCTATGAAGTCTAAGCTGCTCCCCAGCAGAGGTGGGGTGACCGCTCAACCTTGTTTACTCGATTCTGATCGATGCCTGATGTGCACATGTCATTTTTCAGAGTGCATTACTTCTCACTGTAGAGTGTCCTAATCTGGATGTTAAATAGCAGGATCCCTCTGAGAACAAGAGCTTGTGGCGAACAGAAATGCTGGCACATTCAAAAGTCTCAACTGGGGAACCTTGTAAAATCACTTCAGAATAAATGTTTTCCACACTACTGGACTCCACATTAAGAAGTACCTTTAAAAGACTTGACCAAAGAGGCCTGTAGGGAGCAAGTAATGACATTGTGGTTGTATGTTCAGTTGCAGCAAGTTTTCAGAGGTTGTAAACAACACAGGAGGAGATTGCCCATCTTTCTCCCTCGGACCAGCTGATGGATTCAAACTGCCTGCCTTTGAGCTGGTAATGCAACGCCTTTCCATTAGGCCACCAGAGTTCTCTTAATCAACCATAGGCTTATACCACATCTACATTCATTTGTCCTCCAGCTACAGGGATGAAGCAAAATGAATGGGAGATGGGGTATCTGACAAACCCAGTGACTGTATCAGCCAATTTAGATAACACAGGCTCGGGGAAACGTTTTCAGTGCTAATACTCTAGTTTGTTGTCTAATTCAGTGGCCCCAGAACCTCACATGCAGTCACCCACGTGAATTCTGAGCTGCTTTTGTGGACTAGAATGGAAACAGTGGCAGAGAAGCAGACAGGTTTTTCAGCACTCACTCGTAGTCATTCAGGCTTTCCTCTTCTTCAGATGAACTTGACTCAGGGACGCCCCTTAAGGAAAGACGAAATGACACGGCTGTGAAAAATCACCAGGAAATAACACAAGAGCCTAACAGTGCAAAAATCCAATTCTACTCTGCTTTTATCCACGTCAATAAAATTCCGACTGTTGAGTTACCTATTTGCACTTGGGGAGGAATCAGCAAAGTCAAGAGAGAGATTTGCTCAAAAATTGGGCTCCGGGTAGTTATGAAAGAATTACTCCGTGAGTTCTGAGGTCCCCAGGAGACCCCTAGTAATTCATTGCTGTGACCCTGCCAGTAAAGTGGGCTCCTGAAATAGGTGTAGATAGCGTGGTTGAAAGGTGAGCAAACCGCCTGTCTGTGACTAGGGAAATATGGGGCTATTCTTAAGAAAGAATAACTCAAGTGTGGAATGGTTTTCTTCCCGTTACAGGAAGTGTTACGAGGCGTGTTAATGTCCAAGCTGACACTGTAGATCACGCACACTCTAAGGCACTATTAACAGCAACCCTGGTGGCAGAGCTGAATTGACCCATAGGGTCTCCCAGTCTGGAATCTTCCTGGGAGAATATCACTAGGTCTTTCTCTTTCAGAGCCTGCTGGGTGAAGCTGAACTGCCAACCTTTCTGTTAGCAGCTGGTCACTTAACTGTTGTTCATTTCACCAAAAAACTCTCATTGCCATCAAGTTGCCTGTGATTCATAGAGGTCCTCCATTGAGTTGTGAGCCTGTAAATCTTATTGGGAAGAGACTGCCCACATTTACCCTGCAGAACAAGGATTCAAACCACCACAGATGGGGGGCCACCAGGACTCCTTATCTCATGAGAGAGAAAAAAATTAGGATCGGTACAACGGTAACCTAAAAGTTACCGATTTAAACCTATCATCGACTCCATGAATGGAGAGCACTGGTGGCCTAGTAGACTGCGCTGCCAGCCCAGGGGCAGGCGGTCTGAATCCACCATATGCTCCAAGGAAGAGAAGTAATCTCCTCTCACAATTTACAGCCTCTGAAAACCCACTAGAGAGTCAGGCATAGAACAACAACTGCATGAATGAAAGAGCTATGGTGGCACAGTACATTATGTGTTGAAATGCTGACAAAAAGGTCAGTGGTTCAAAGCTCCTAGCTATGCTGCTGGAAGGAGGTGGGCAGCCTCGTTCAGAACAGACTTACGGCCTCAGAAACCTGATCGCAGGTCACCATGGGTAGGGCTCGGCTTGACAGGAGTGAGCTGGGTTTGGTACTTGGTGCATAAGGAGCCCTGGTAGTGGGGGGAGGTAAGTGCTGGGCTTCTAAACGCACAGTCAACAGTTTGAACCCAGCTGCCCCTCCAAGAGGGACCGATGAGACCATCTGCTCCTGTTAAGATTTATAGTCTCAGAAACAGATGGGTTAGTTCTACTCTGTCCTCGAGGGTCACTCTGAGTCAGAACTGACTTGGGGACAGTGAATTTTGTTCTTGGTTTCCTCTGTGCATTGGGGGCTGACTCTGCAACAGCTAAAACAACGGCGGCAGCATAAAGTCAAACTACATGGCTTTTGTACATCAAGTCAGAACCAACTCATAACTGACCCTCCAGGGAGTTTTCAGAGGTAGGAGATGGCACGGGAGGGGAATGTCCACCTTTCTTTTGTAGACCACATGCCTTTTGGGTTTATATTCACCTTCCACGTAAAGTCTAGCTGCAGATTTTTTGCTATTTTGGTTCGTTTTCCTGCCAGTGGAAGCGAAATCTGCTCGTCAAGGGGTCTGCAAATTGGACTTACCAGGAAATCTTCGAGGTGCTCTGGTTTACAAAATTTACTTCCCTTGGGTTGCTGCCTGCGAATTCTTCACGGCTACAAAAAGATAACACCTTCAACATTTATATGTGTGCATAAATTTTTTAAAAACAGAAGTCCTTTCGTTCTGATGTGTTTTGGCTTTATTTCACTTTCTCATTCCACCACATCACTCCCCCACCCCCGACGCTCTACTTGGTTTGGAGATTTAAGCTCATGTTTCATTTTTACATTTTGCTTCTTGCATGGACATCGATAAAAAAAAGCAGGAATTTGGCAGTATTCCTAAATGAAAGGGAATTGTTATTTATAATGACCCTGAATAAGAGAACACTGGGATCTATCAATCATCTGCTCATCTGGAAGGGTTTTGCTCTGACACACCAACATTCTGTCACTTTAATGCTTTTAACTAAGTCCTTTTCAGCTTGGTCGTTGTGATGGAACTGCGAAGTCTCACGGAGCACTGTATTTAACGCCAGCTGACAGAGATTTCATCTGCAGGATTGGATCGCCCTCTGCTGCCCGGCCTGCTTCCTCTTCTACTGGGAGGTCTGCCTCTTGCCCAAAGGCTTTTAAAATCTAGACTGGAGGCCCAGGTTCCAGTTTGCCTTCGTTGCCCAGGCCCGTCGTCAAAGCCACATGCTTCCTTAACAAGGAAATGCTCCTTTGACCCCATTTCCAGAAGCACCTCGAGGAAGTCTTGCATGTGCTTTGCCTTCCCAAAGAACCTTGCCCGCTAGGATAAATTTTTTTAGTTCATATCTTCGGAAGAAAATACTGGTCCCTAAAAAGCTAAGCAGTTGAAAGAGTTCTTAGGTGGTGCAAAGAGTTAACCCGCTTAGATCCATCCTACTGGAAAGGCTGTAAGGCAGACGCCACCACCAAGTGCCTTGGAAGAAAGGCCTGGAGATCTAGTTTACCAAAATCAGCCATTACCATCCTGCGGAGCACAGTGCTACTCTGACACACAAAGGGTTACCATTAGTTGGAGTCAACACGATGGCAACTGGTTGTTAGACTTTTAAAAGAAACCCAGTTAGCCTATTTGGGGGTTTTAAGAATATATCACTTAGCTTTATCCATATAATAGATTCGCTTGGCATATCACCATGTATTTAGACGAGATCCGGCTCCTCGAGGGAGGTGAGATGGTAAATAGGCCACATCCTCGTGCCTTTAAATGGGGGAAATGATTAAGATATTGAACGCCAAGAGCAAGTGGCAAAGAAGAGGTGGGTCAAGACTCACTTCTTCAGTAATTATATCTAATGGGAGCACATGCATGGAACAAAGTTGAGACGCACGCACCAGGCCGGAGCTGCAAAGTGGGAATGTTTTGAAAGGAATATATGTTACTGTACTAGTCAAAAAGTCTAAAGATTGAAAAGCAGACTGAGTGAAGGTAGTAAGAATGCCATAAACATTGGCGAAACCCCCCTAACGACACGGCTTCTCTGTTAAAAGCCAAGCTCCGTGATGACCTTTCAGTAATTCTCCTGATTCGCTCGCAGATGCAATGCTGCTCTCATGTTAGAGGCGAGTAAGCCGTGAGTGACTGAGGCGCTGGACTTGGGAGCAAAATGTCAAGGGTGTCAGGAAAATGAGCAACTGACATAAACGATGCTTGAATGCGATATTAAAAAGGAAGAAAGTGTCATGATCTGCAGTGAGTAGTGCCCATCTTTCCTTCCCACCCCGCAGCTCGTGGCCTGCAGCCCCCAGCAGAAGCAACAAGCATACGCTTACATTCCTTCAAGTCCCAAAAGGCCCTGCGGCTGTGTCATCGGTACAGTGCGGCATTTGCTTGGGGTAAAAAGGAAGAAAATGGACAGCGGGAAGGAATAACAAGATGAGGGAGAAAAGAAAGAGAAGAGGCAAGTGGTGAGTCTGCAAAATGCACTACATGCCCCTCGGGAAGGAAGCTGATAGCTGCTTGAGGAGAGGGCGGCCAGTGGGCAATGTGATGGGCAGGAAGGCTGAGGCTGTAAATAAGAACAGGTCATCCCTCGCGTACATCTTTCTGCTCATTTGTCAGTTAACTGTAACATGTATCGGTTACTGAGTGAGCTGAAGGCTCGACACCGAACCAGAGTTGCATACAATTTAGGTGCTGCCTTCGAGGGGCTGTCGACTCAGGCCTTTGCTCAGAGACTAATCCGCTCATGGCCTTGCTGGAAATGTTCCCTCACTTTTGATTAGTGACATCGACACAAGATACAAAAGTAATCCTGTGCTACTGTTTACAATGCTGGGTTCTGAAATGTGGGGTTATTTGGGGGAAGAGGGCAGATCAAAGCATGGACTAAAATGCCCAGGTATCTCTTGACTCATTAGCTAAATAGAAAATCTGTGTTGTGGGTCTCAGTTGGGCCTCTGCTTCCCAGGCTTTGACTAAAGCCCTGAACATCTTCCGAGAGGACGTTCCTCTGAGGGAAGACTTGTATCGACAGCTCAGAGGCAGAGCTCCAGGCCAGGGAGTCATGCCTACTCCTCCTTCTAAACAGTCAGCCTTGACACTGGGCTTTACCTTTTCAATTTTCTTACTTGCCACCAGTCAGGGCAGTCCTCCCTCGGGATGTACCGCGTGTGGATGTTTGGCTGGGAGCCATAGTTTCTCTTTGCGTTGCCGTCATACTGGGCGAGAGTGGTGCTTGAAGATGGTGCATCCATTCTGAGGACAGGAACGGCCCGAGGAATCTTCAGCTGTGGGAGGCAAGAGATTGGAATCCATCACAGGAAGTTACAGAATCATGCTGAGAACCAGCAACTAAAACACATCGGTTTTTAAATGCCAAAGGAAGGGAAAAAGGGAGGAGGGAAGGAGGAAGGAAGGAAAGAAAAGAGGCCAAAGTATTGATGAGAATATTGATGAGTGTTGATGAGAATTCTCATCCATTGTTGGTTGGAGTATGAAGTGGTACAGCCACATTGGAGAGTTGTTTGCAAAAATCGGCTAGCATTGGATTCGCACACGCTCTATGTTGTTGTTGTTGTGTACCATCGAGTTGGAAATGACCCATAGTTGACCTGCGGGTTTTCAAAGGCAGTTAATAGCCCATCTTTCTCCCATGGAGCACCTTGTGGATTTGAATCGCGAGCCTTCGGGATTGCAGTACAGTTTCATGCCACTAGGCCACCAGAGCTCCCTGCACAAAAACATGTAATAGAATGTTCGTAACAGAATTAGGTCAATGTGATAAAAACTGGAAATGGCCTAAATACACGTCAAGAGGATGAATGGGTAAATATAATGACCTTGGAGCAATGCGCATATCCTACTCCAAGAACCTGGGAATATGCTCTTACATTGGAAAGAGAGTTTTGCAAATGTGATTTCATTAAAGATCCAGAGGTAGGGAGATTATCTTGGGTTATGCAGGTGTGCCCAATGTAATCGGAAAGTCTCTGAAGAGAATATGAGGACAGGAGTCGGAGGGCAGAGAAGATGCTACAACCGCTGGCTTTCAAAATGAAGGAAGGGGTGACAAGGCAAGAAATGTGGGTAACTGGGAAAAAGGCAACGGATTCTCTCCTGGGACTGCGAGAGGAGCACAGCCCTGTGAAACTGTTTTAGCCTCCGATTTCCAAAACTTGTACACATCTGAAGAGGACCTGAAGCGCCTGCTGCAGAGGGTCAAGGACTGCAACTTCCAATATGGATTGAGGCTCAATGTCAAGAAGACAAAGATTCTCACCACTGGACCAATTGGCAGCATCAAGATGGATGGTGAAGAGATTGAGATTGTACACAGCTTTAGTTTGCTTGGCTCCACAGTCAACAGTCTTGGCACCAGTAGCCAGGAAATTAAAAGGTGCATTGCCATGGGAAAGTCTGCTGTTAGGGACCTCTCCAAAGTACTGAAGAGCAATGGTGTCTCTCTGGAGACTAAGGTGTGTCTGATACAGGCTATGGTCTTCCCAATCACTTGTTGTGCATCAGAGAGTTGGACAATGACCAAGGAGGATAGAAGGAGAATTGATGCCTTTGAGCTGTGGTGCTGGAGAAGAGTATTGAGAATACCATGGACTGCTAGGAAAACAAACAGATTTGTTCTGGAAAGGGTTAAATCGGGTGGCTCTTTGGAGGCAAAGATTCTGAGGCTCCATCTAACATACTTTGGACATGTTGTGAGGAGAGACCGGTCCTTGGAGAGGGACATCATGCTTGGGAGGGTGGAGGGACAGCACAGGAGAGGAAGTCCCTCTATGAGGTGGATTGATTCAGTGACTGGGATAATTGGGATGGGAGTGTCAGAGACGGTGCGATTGGCACAGGACAGAGCGGAGTTTAGGGCTGTTCTACATAGGGTCGCTATGAGTCGCAAGCGACTCGATGGCACATAACAACAACAAACAACAACAACATACACATCTGATGCTTCTCAAAGACACTGAGAAAGGATTTAAAATTATTAGTAGTTTGCAGTGATTTACTAAATTTTATTTCTTATAGATTATTTTACTGTAACAGAATGGATATGTTTTCAATAGAATATTTACACCACAAAAGAGGAGTCAAAATTTTAAAAAATTTAGACATTTAAAATTAAAAAAAAACTTTTAAAAACATATCAAGGTGGTGGTGATTTGTTCAAACAGCAAAGGAAAGTAACATAATGGTGGATTCCCGTAAGAGAAGGCTCAGCAGCAATAATGGAGATAAACCACAAACACGCTAGGAAGTGGGCAGCTCTCGTTAATTGAACAAGACTGATAATAACATGCTACACACTTTATGACTCTGGTGCGAGAAAAGTCAATAGGGAACCTATACAGCGAAGTGTTAGGACAGCTACATGTCTAAACCGACTCTAGGCACCTACGACAACGACTTGGCGTGACGGAGTATGAGTCCACCTTGAGATTCTGCTAATGTTCTGCTTCTTAGTCTGAATTTAGGTTATCTACGTGTTTCCCCAAAACCACTTCTATTACATTGATTCCTGCTCATAGTGACCCTCCATCAGGTTTCCAAGTCTGTAAACTTCATCAAGTAGGAGAATTTGAGAATTAGGAGGGAGATTAGAACTGCTAACCTTTTGATTAGTGGCCCAAGGTGTCACACAGTACACCTGACTTGGGTGTGTTCTCTTGGTGCAACTTCTTCCAGCTAAACACCCCAAACCTGTGTGCTTTCTAAGTACACCTGACACTTTGATTAAAAGGCGCCTTACAGATCCACAGCAGTTCTTAAGTTCATTCTTTTTCCACACTACATTTTTTCCCCTTTTCTCTCAGAGTATATGGTCGATCTGACAGAGGCTTTGGCATCCTGGAAACTTTAGTTAGGCAAAGCGATGTTATTTATGAGCTGTGAAGTGGGCTCCCTCCAAAGATAAACACAGTGGAAAGTTCCTGAAGCGGAAATCTGCTCAGGGCAGCTGCCTGGCTGATTTTTCTCTCCCCGCCTCAGGAAAGTCAGGTCTCTCCTGAATTCTTGGGTGAGAACAAAACAAAGGCAAACATGCTTTTCTCGGAGCCCAGGTCCATGTGGGCAGCTGATAATCAAAACAGGTTTCTGGAACCCTTGACCACGGATTTGCCTGATGGATAATTTCCAACACATTTCCCCAAAGAATCTCTGTCCTGAGACACAATGCAATGGTGTCTGGTTCCTAAATGAGTCTCTGTTCTCGGATTTGCTTAAACAACTTTACAGCGTTGGTACAGTGTGTAGAAGGTTGTGCTGTAACCCAAAGGTGTCCCCTGCCTGATGGTGTGACCCCCACCAGCAGCCCTGAGGTGAAAGCTCTTTTTTATGTCATTTGCAGCCTTGGAAACTCACTGGAGGACCAGCTAGGGGTTATTTCTGACTCCATGGCAAATGCCTTGTTTCTATTTTTAAATCTCCATACCACACAATTCACCCTTTAGGAATATACAATTCATTGGCTTTTTAGTCAATTTATCACGCTACATACATAATCTTCTCCACTGTCCAACCTGAGGACGATGCTGCCTGACTCCCAGTTACGTGAGTCCCCATTCCTGGCCTTGCCCCTAGCAACCACTCATCTATCTTACTTTTGCCTATTTTGCACATTACTCTCAGATATTACTACAGGGTCATGTCTTTTAAGTTGCAGGACTGAAGCAGAGATCTAAAAAAAAAAAAAGCAATGTCCCTCAGAACAAAGCAAAAACCCCAAAACGTACTAGTGGATTTTCCCCCCCTACCCTTGTGTCTCATTCACAAAAGTTATATGCCTTTTACTTAGAAAGAGAAAAGTAGGTATGAGTGTGTCACTGAAAAGAACTACTCAAGACACTATAGACCAGATGGCTGGCTGGAGATGTCCCTTAATCTCAGGTGAACCTTTCTGAATCCACTGGGGAGGCTTTTTTCTGTGTCTCTTGGAATTCAATGAGGCAGAGACTGGCCTGGGAAATAAAAAAGCAGCAAGCCAGACTCTGAGTCCAAGGAAACAGAGCAAAATGCATGGCGAGAACGCTGAGAGAGCAAGCTGCGTCCAGGTTTAGTTGTCGGTTGTTGTCTTTTTGGGTTTGTTTTTTTGTTTGTTTGGTGTGTTGGGTTCCCCCCCCCCCCCCCCAAGAGCAAAAAACGGTTTGTTTTCCTGTCAGCCAACTCTGCCTTTGGGAGAGAATTGGCCAAGCGCCATCTTGACGGGAGCTCTGCCCCAAACAGCTATGCTGAGCTCGTACAGGGGATGAAGACTGGACTTGTAAGAGTCAAGATGTCTCTCTGCCATAAAATGGCACTTGCAGATGTACCACTCTGAGGCAACCATGAAAGTCCCTCCACAAGATAAAGAAGCAGCACTGGGACACTGTCCCTCAGTCAGAAGCCACCATTAACAAATCTTGATGGGACTAGCCACGTGCGAGTGTCCCTTTTCCACTAGCTCCCCTCTTCCTGAGTCCCACCCCTGAAAGGGTCAGAAATCTCAGCCTGTCTGTGATCTCCATTCTGATATAGGTGGACAACTGATGCTGACCAGAGCTAGGTGGATGGGAGAAGTTTAATTTTAGAGTTGTGTGGCAGGAGAGGAGGGATAACTGCTGAAAAGTTGTGTGTTACATGTGAACATTTTAACAGCTTCTGTCACGTGCACCTGTTTGTTTTTGTGTTTTTTTTCATCTGTATGACTCTGGTGGCCTAGTGGTAAGGAGCTGAGAGCTGTCATTCTAAAGGTATGTAGTTCGAATCCATCAGCTGCTCCACCAGAAAAGAGAAGCAGTCACTTCCTGTGTGATTTACAGACTCACGTCCTACTTGACGGTACACAACAACAGGTCTTACGGATATGTTAAGGGAAATGGACATGATATGCAAATACAAGAATGAAAAGGTGAAGAATTGATGTCTTTGTTGGCAGTGTTGTTGACGAAACCTGAATTTACCATGTGGTTGTCGATCTTACTGTGGGGCCGCCACAAAGACAAAGTCTGTTTTGGAAGAAGTGTCACAAGGATGTTCCTTAGAAGCAAGGGTGGGTGAGATTTCATCTCATGTAGTGCAGACATGCTACCAGGAGGGGTCAGTCTTTGAAAAAGACATCATTGCTCAGACAGGTGGAGGGTCAGTGAGAGAGAAGAAGACCCTCAAGGAGATGGGGTGACAAAATGAACATTGTACGAGTCAACACTGTGAGGAGGACACAGGATCAAACAGCATTTCTTTCTGTGCTTCATGACGTCACTATGAATTGGAACCAACTCTGTGGCTTCATCACCAACAATAATCTGTGAATAATCTGGTGGCTTAGTGCACAACAAGCTGGGCTGCTGACTGAAAGGCTGGCAGTTTGAATCCAGTAAACATTCAGTGGGAGAGAGTTGGGGAGCCTCCTCTTATCAGGATTTCCAGCTTTGGAAATCCAATAGTCAGGCACTGAGTCAGAATCTAGTTGACAACAGTGCTGAAGGGTCTGAAAGAATCTCACATTTTCTAATCTTGAGTCTGGCACCTCTCAGTTCATAAACATGTCCTGATGAGGAAAACAAAAAAACAAAGCAAAGCAACAAGTCACGTGGACTTACCACCCTGTCAGGGAAGATGGGTGGTCTGGGCCTCTCTTCACTGGTGGCGATGTGCAGATCAGCATCTGGAAAGCAAAACCAATACATGTTAGAAGGAAGTTTAAATAAAATGAAGCAAAGTACTCAAGGCTATGAGTCCAGAGAAAGCACTGGTACGTGTTAGTCATCCCCCAGATTAAACAAATTTAGACACAAATCTAGAATGATAGTATCTAAAACCCAAACACCATTTTTCCAACAACACACTCCCAGTATTGGCCTGAAAATATTCAATTCCTTCCAAATCCTATCTCCTTCATTTTGACTTCCTTTTCATCTTGTAGTTGAGCCCCAGACATCTAATCACCTTAGGTGGTGTATGTTTACTAGCCGGGTCTCCGAATCCATGGCTGATTCCTCCGACGGACCCATCCAAGAGGTATCTGCATCAGTCACAAAAGCCCCAACCAAACCCATTGCCATGAAATTGGTTCTGACTCACAGCCACCCTCCATCCAGGTTCCATCCTTCTGCCGGCTGGTGGCTTCGAACTGCTGATCTTTTGGTTAGTACACACTACAGGAATCCTTTTTAGAGATCAAGAAGTAGCTGATGATTAAATGAACAAATCTCTTGTGCGTCCTCTTCTGCTTCTTGGGATAATTGTGGATTTCTCTTTCTACCCGCAGTTGCAGACAGATGGCCAGGCTCTGAGGAGTAAGGCACTTATACGCAGAGTGACCATGTGGAGTACTGCCCAAACGAGGACACTTCTGACAGTGGGAGAGTACAATGGAATCATTGTCAGGACATCAGGGACAGAATGGGACTGTCCCCAACAAACAGGGGTATATGGCCAACTCTCAGCTCTGGAGAGAGGATGACCTCTGGGCATCTTGGAGACAGAAAGAAGCAAAGGTGTCTACCGGCTACCCAGAAGCTTTGCGGGGGGATGGGGGAGCAAAGGAAGAAATTGTGCTTGGATATCCACGATCTCAAGTCAAGTTCGATTCACAGCAATCCTTTGAGTCTGCCTCCCAGTGGGCCTGCCTCCCAGGGTTTTCAAGCTGTAATCTTTATGGAAGCAAACTCTTGCATCATTCTCTCTCCCACGGAGCGGTTGGTGGGCTTGAACCCTTGACCTTTTGGTTAGCAAGTGTTTAGCCACTGTGTCACTGTTGTGAGCTGGAACACCTCCACACTGTCACTTTCTTGAGAACCTGGCCAAAGAGCTGGTGGCGCCCAGGACACATGCCAGGACGCATCAAGATAGAGCCCGAGAAGACAATCGCAGGGTTATATGCCTGGCCTTCCCCTCTCCTCCTCTCCAGGGAGTGAAGCAGGGTCAAAGCTGGAATCTGTCCTTTTTGGGTGACGGTGTCAGATCACAGACAGCCAATCCCGTGTAACTCATCAAATCACTTGAATTTACCGATGCAAAGGACTGGACCGTGTGATCTGAGGTTAATACATAGTCATTGCAGAGCCTAAATGAGATGGAATAGTAAGCATTGATTCTGGTATAAGATTACCAGTTATAACATGATTAACATGAGTTCCAGCTGCCAGCACGGTGAGCAGGTGAATTTGAATAATATGTCCTGGGCCTGCTGATATAGCACACAAAAGTCAGCTCATCCAACTCTTTAAAGCTATAAGAAATAAACCAGATTTTGTCCAGCCTGGTCAAATGATTCCCCCAAAGTAATTCTCCTTTTCTAATGTACTACAAACTCCATGTTGTTAAATAACTACACACTTCTGCAGTAGATGCCGGTGGTGTAGGGCACCGTTGAATTGGTTCCAACTTGAAGTGACCCCATGTGACAGAGTAAAACTATCCCATAGGCTGTAATCCTCACAAGAGCAGGTCACCAGGGTCTTTCTCCCGCAGTGCTGCTGGTCAACAGCTCTTAACCATTGTGCTACCAGGACTCCTCAAATATATACAAGCCCTAGAGCTGGTCCATGGAGATTGCACAGCTAACCCAAAGGCCATGCCGCTGGTAACTCAGATCCACCAGCAGCTACGTGGGCAAAGGATGGGCAGTTTCCTCTTGTGCGATTTATAGCCTCTGAAACTTGCTGGAGGCTCAGCTCTGGGCCAGTTCTGACTTGAGGGCGATGAAGGGAAGCTAAGTGAGCAGCACGTGGCTGTACTTACAGCATACCCTTGGCTAGCCTCTCTTGATGTCTGTCATCAAGAAGCCAGCAACAAGGGAGCAATGATAACTCACCTGAAATAGAGCTTGTGAAAGGTAAACAAGCCCTCATTTGGGCTTTTTCAGATTTTTATCCTTTCAATTCTTTTAAGACCATTAGGTTTGGGGTTTTGGTTTCTTAACACTTTGACGAAGAGAGACTCGTCTTCATATCACACGGGAAACCTCGCTGTGTGATAGGTTCGCCACATGCTCCCTGCCTGGAGTTTATCTTAGCCCAGAGAGCATTATGAGAGGAAATGGCTCCTAGCTTGGTTAATGATGTCACGTTTTAAGTTATTTCTCATGACATGCAAGAAGGGTGGTCTTGTTTTTCCTGAATCTGACTCCATTGCCCCTTGAATCAGCCCTCATTTGCCAGATCAGATCGGCGAGGCTAGATCGGCTCAGTTTCCTTGAATGGTGGTGGGGTTTGGTCTACTGGGGCCCCATCCACCCGGGGTCCAGCCCAAGAGAGGGGTGCATTACATGCTTCCCAGAGGGTGCATCCGGGGGCTGCTTTGCAACTCTGCTGGCAACACAGGAACTTCCCGTCCACGAAGAAACCACTGTGGTACTTGATCAGCAGGTGGGGGTTACCCCTTATCTCTGAGAAGCAGGCAGAAAAAAAACAAGATGTAAGTGAACATTGTCCCAGAACAATGGGGACCCCATCTTGCCAGCAACCAGGGTAAGAGCCAATGCTTCCCAACGGATGTAAGTCTTTCACTCTGAAGTTAGTAGGCCAGAAAGAAAAAGGAACATCTAATGGTGGGGACAGCGAGAACAATGCAGTAACATGTACCAGCCTTTTAAAAAGTAGTCAAAGATGTTCACATGCAGCTTAGTGTGGAATTTGTTGTTGACTGTTGTTCTGTGCCGTTGACCAGTAGCTGACCCTCCGGAGGGTTTTCAGAGGTTGTAAATCACACGGGAGGAAATTATCCATCCTTCTCCCGGGAAGCAGCTGGTGGATGCCCAAAGGTATACAGTTCAAACCTTTGGGATTGTAGCACAGCTTCTTACCACTTGGCCACCAGAGCACCCTCATTTAGGATTGTTGTTGTTGTTATGTGCCGTCGAGTCGCCTGCGACTCATAGGATTAGGATTTTTAAAATACATTCCTAACAGAAGTGAGCGAGTTAGGATGCATGGTATTTGTGGCAGAAAGAGGCTTCTAATAAACTTCTATTTACCTCTCTTTTATTTAATTTTATTAAATTCAAATGTGCAGAAAAGCCACAAAAAACAACATTACTGAACATCCACATACTTGTACCTGTTGTTGTGTGTCTATGAGTAGATCCTGCCTGACTCCTGGTGACTCAGAGTTACCCCGGAGGGTGTTCAAGGCTGTAAATCTTTATGAGGCACAGACAGGCAGATTCTTCTCCCCTGGAGGGGATGGTGGATTTGAACTGCTAACCTTTTGGTTAGTCACATCATACTTAACCACTATACTATGCCACCAAGGTTTCTCCTCTCTCTCAATCTCTCAATATCTCTCTCTCTCAATCTCAATCTCTTTCTCTCGCCATCATTGTTAACTATACACCATATTTGCTTTGTCTCTCTCTCTGTGCACATATATTTCTTATTGTTATTTAATTATTGTTATGCTTAGCCATTCAAGGTAAGTTGCAGACATTATGATTTAAATAATGCTACCCACATAATATGTACCTTCTATGAACATGCTGTGGTTGCTATGTACCGTCAAGTTGGAACTGACCCATAGCTGATTCTCCAGTGGGTTTTCAGAGGCATTAAATCGCATGGGAGGAGACAGCCCATCTTTCACCCAACGAGCAGCTGATGGATTTGAACTGTGTGCCGTTGGGTTGGCAATGCAGCTTCTTACCACTAGGCCATCAGCGCTCCCTTCTATGAACAAGGGCATTCTCTTATTTTAAAAAATTTTCACACTGATACTATACTATTACCGAAGATATATACATCTCATTCAGATTTTTTGCCAATTGTCCGAATAGCCTTCTTTATAAAGTGAAAAACCTAAAACTCATGCTTCTAATGGGTTTTGTGGTGGGTTTATTTCTGACCTAGGATCCAGTCCAGGTCACACCTGGCATTTCATCTTCTTGTCTCTTTCTAGTGTCCCTTGAATCTAGAATGTTTTCTCACTCTTTCTTCCTTGTCCATCACCTTGACACATTTATGGAGAGTATGGATAATGTATGGGGTGTCTTTGTTTTCCCAGGGCCGCTCTAACAGAAGATCACCAAGTGGGAGGCTATAAACAAGAGACATTTGTCTCACGGTCCTTGAGGCCAGGAAGCTGAGATCAGGGTGTTGGCTTTACTGAGTCCTTCTACAATCAGGCCTCTCTCCTGGATCCCAGGAGGCCAGGATCTCCTTGGTTTCCAGTTACAGGGTCACATACTATTCTTCTTTCTGTCTCTTTGTCTTTCTGCATCTCCATCTTTTATTAGGACCCCCATCATAAAGGATTTGGGCCCACTTAGATCCAGTATGACTTCACGCTAAACTAACCTGTAACATCTTCAAAAGACCCAATTTCTAAGCAGTCAAGTTCACAGTATGTGAGTTAGGACTTCAACACATTGTAGGGAGACATACTTCACTCCATGTGATGGGGGTACTAGGGGTATATGCATTGTAAACATAAACCATGTTCATACAAAGATTGTAGGATCTCTCTTATATGAAATATTAAACTAGACAAATGTATATAGAGAAGTTTATCAGTGAGAACCAGGGCAGGAGTGGCATCCACTTCCTAAACCACATGCCTCTGAAAACTCTCTGAACTTTGACAAATGACGATAGTTCTAGAAAGGCTTCAGTGCTCCTAGGGTTGCTATGAGTTGTGCTCGACTCGACGGCAATCAACAGCAACAGGGAGCAATAACTAGGCATTATTCTTGGAAGAGGGAGCTCTGGTGGAATGGAAAGAGTTGTGCTGCCAACCCAAAGGCACTTGGTTCGAATCTCCCAATTGCTCCATGGGAGGAAGATGGGTAATTTCCTCTCATGTGATTTACAATTTCTATCACCAGTGCTTCTTAATCCACACGTAGCACTTTACGTTGACATAGATTCCCATTTTCAAATATACCATCTCACTTAACCTGTGCAACAACCCTGGAGGCTGCTATTATTGCTATTGTGGCTCTTATGAAGTGAGGTAAACTGCGTCGATAGAAGTGGTCTGGTAGGCCGACAAAGGCTTCCTTCCCATGTTATGTTCACAACCTGTGAATAGGCCCTCATTTGGGAAAACATAGGGGTTTGAGTAGATGTGATTAACCAAGGATTTTGAGATGAGAAGACTATTTAAGATCCTCTACTTGTTATGTGCCATCAAGCCTACTACAACTCATCGCAACCCTATGCACCTTGCTCTATCCTGAGCCAACCTCACTATCCCTGACACACTTGACCTCATTGCCACAGTCACCGAGTCAACCCATCTCATCCAGGATCTGCCTCTCCTGCACTGTCCCTCCACCCTTCCAAGAATGATGTTCTTCTCCAAGGACCAGTCCTTCCTTGCAACATGCCCAAAGTAGGTGAGGTAGAATTTCAAAATGCTTGCCTCCAAGGGGCAAACCTGATTTCACCCTCTGCAGGACAGACCTGTTTGTTCCATTCGTGGTCCATGGTATATATTCAATACTTTTCTCCAGCACCACAACTCAAAGGCATTGATTAGGATTATGCAGATGATTCTAGATCAATCTAGATATCCTTATAAGAGAGAGACAGCAGGAGACAGGAATAGAGGAGAAGGCAATGTGAAGACAGACAAAGATTAGAATGATGTGTCCTCAAGCCAAGGAATGCTGGTACCCAGAAGATGGAAGAGACAAGAAATGGATTCTCCTTCGGGGCCTTCAACCAACACCTTGCAGTTCTCCATCTGACCTCCGAAGCTGTGAGAGAATAATCCAGGTAGTTGTAATAACCCAGTCTTAGGTAATTTGTCACAGCAGCTAGAGGTGTACTTGTTCAAGCTCTCTAACCCGGTAAAGAGCCAACAGGGGCCTCAGCACCAAGCTTTTCAACCCCACTCTGATGCCAGCTTCCCTGCCAAACCCCATCCAGCTTTAATCTGGGGAAGGAAGCGCACACTTCATCCATATCAAGTCCACTGAATTCAGAGCGATTGTTACCATATATGCCTTGAATTCCTACTGAAGATCAGCCCAAACTCTCCAAGTGCAGGTTAACATCCAGGAAATTCTATGTCCACCTTAGCTTATAAAATCTGAGCCAAATAAGGAAAGACACAGAAAGGGAAGTCATTGTCTAGCAGTGACACTTGATAGAGGGGAAGTTTCTTTGCAAGAGAACCTCTTTGTTTTCCTTTCATAGGCTGGGTTGGCGAACCTGCCAGCCGGCCCACCCCCCTCCGCTCTCGTGCTACTCTCAGTCAGCTGATCCCACCCACTCTTCTCTCTTGCTGCTTTCCAGCGCAGAGGCTGGAGAAGCTACACACCATCGTCCTGCTGCCTTTGCACATGGCGTTCACCATGAGACACAGTTTTGGCCAATGACTCATATACAGAAGATTGCAAGGGGGTTTATGGGAAGGCTCGGAGCCCATCTTGGAGCCTCTAAGGGTGACAGAGCATAAGTCTAGGAGGAGACTGGATGCCTATTGACCCTCATAGAACTGCTACATTGGTCTACCTCTGGACTTGATACCACGCGAGAAGAACAAATGTGTGTTTGTTTCCACGACTATGCGGTGTCCTGTTACTTGCAGCCTAAAGCATTATGGATGGAAATGACTTTAGTACGCACATGGCAGCCCTAGTGACAGTGTTCACTGGAGTTTTACGGGAGCCTGAGAGAGGCACTTTTCTTTCCCCTCTGCTCTTCCTTGACATTCCACATGCTCACAAATTGTATGCCGCCTGCCCAGGATCCATTCCAACCTGACCATCTTCCATAGCCCCTAAAGGGGGACCTCGGGCATGACCGAAATCTACACACAGGCACTGTCTACACAGCAACTGCACCAGGAAGTTCCTCCCAGAGGCAGCCTCTCAGTGCCCTTTCCGGAAGACCCATTATGACCACAGTGACTCACTTTTGTGGGCCATTTTTATATATGAGTCACTCCTTTGAGGCTCAGGACCACACTTGGAGAGCATAGATGTGATGTCCTATTTTACGGGTCAGGAAGCTGAGACCCAGGCATCAGACGGCTGTTTGAGGTGGCCTCAGGACTTGGATACCAGGTTGCCTGACTCCGGGAGGGACATTCTCCTCCCTTCAACAAGCTGGTGAGGAGACCTCCCTCCCTGCTGGATCACTCGAGAGAATGAACAGATTTCTACGCCACTCGTGCAAAGGGGAAATTGAGTCCTATGTGTAGAAAAGGCTATGTTTACACAGAAAGGGAATACGTAGCTGTTGGAAATGTTATCATATGTTATGTATCGACAATGAGTCCTCGTCAATGAAATAAACTGAACTCTTGCCATCCCACCTGTGAAGTCATTCATCTGAGCGAGTGCTTTTGCAAACTATGCCACATAAAAGTCCCATTGACATCTTTCATCTCTGGGCTTAACTGGGAGGTTTGCCCCTCACGTACAGCACATGCTGATGTCAGGGAGGGGCTTTGTCAACTTCATAAAACAGGAGGAAGTTTGCTGGGCCTTATTGCTGTGTTGAGAGGTTATTGTGAGGTATATCGAGAGGAGGTACATCCTGCAAAAGGGTATATGTAAGGGCCTTCATCTCTTTGAGCTTTTATACAGCAGGATAAGGCTTGTACGTGTATCGACTCTCTCCTATGTCTTATTATTGTATCGGGCATGTTGATAGCAGAGGCTATTCCCTGGAAAGGGACATCACGCTAGGGATGGTGGAGGGGCAACAAAAGAGAGGAAGACCCTCAGTGAAACGGATTGACACAGTGACTGCAGCAGTGGGCTCAAGCGTGTCAGAGGTGATGAAGATGGCCCAGGACAGGTCACGGTTCAGATCTATTGATCATTATGAGACATATTCGACTCGATGGCACTTACTAACAAACAAGGTGTGTTCTCCGGAAGGTGCAGTGTTACGAAATATTAAAGTGAGGGAGGTTTTTCCATGCCTCGTCTTGCCTGCCCTATCTTCAGAGTTCACAGGACACATGTGTCCAACATAATACGTGTCCAAATCCACCAGGTCTAATAAAAATTTAAAACCCTTCAGTGACTCAAGACGTCCCATTAGCAAAACCACATTATAACTACAAAAGGTCACACACACAAAAAGATTCTACAAAGAAAGGGTTGAGCATCACCCTCCTTCCATTACTGAAAACGGAAACCCTGCCTGCCATCAGGCTGATTCCAAGTCATCGAGACCCTCCACTGAGTTTCATAAGCCATACATCTTAGAGCACACTGCCTTATCTCTCTCGCTTAGAGAAGCTGGTGGATTTGAGCCTATGACCATTCAGTTAGCAGCCTGATATATAACAACTCCTACTCATTCCAGCATCCTTTTTTAAAATAAAAATTATTGTAATGCAGAGTATTGTAATGTGAACTTACTAGCCAGGAGTAGTTTTCTCCTCCCAGACATCGCGAGCAGGGTGGCTGAAGAATCAATCCCTGAATAAAAGCATCATTGCACCCCCAGTTTCGCCTCGGAATTATACCAGTTAAAGAGCTGAGTGGTGTAATTGAGCCTTGAGTTCTCTATTATCAGGAATGTGACATTGGGAGTGTCTATCTAACTTCACTCATCTGAAAACACACAAATTAATAAAATCCCTGGGTCCCTGAGTGATGTAAATGGGTTTTCTCTAGGCCACTAACTAGTCAAAAGGTTGGCAGTTTGAACCTGTCCAGTGATGTCAAGGAAGAAAGGCGTGGTGATCTGCTTCAGTAAGATTACAGCCAACAAAACCCCTTGGTGCTCAGTTTACTCAGTAGCATGGAGTCACCAAGAGACTAATTAATTCAGATGGCCATGAGCTTGTCTGAAAAATGGAGAATAACATTTCCCCTTTCCAGAGAGTTGTTGGGGATATCTCTAAGAAAACGTTTTCCAAGTGCTTGACACAGTACCTGGCTATATGGTTAATCTCCTGGTTCGTTTTAGACATAATGACTTCAGTAAATAAACATGGGAAGAACCACAGCTATGGGCCCTCACACAGCCCCGCTGGCTGCTACCTGATAAAGGAAGACAAACACAGCGGATGAGGGCAGGTGGCCTGCTGGCCCCCAAGTGGCTGGAAAGGCACAATAGTCAGCTCTGTGCTGAGCAGGAAAGGGAATAGGAGCTAAGGGCTTCCTCTCTGTAACAATGAGAATGCAAAAAGTGGATGAGACGGCACCTTGCCCGGGGCTGTAGGAAAATGAGCCGATTCTCTCTCGAGATCCGATCCTCTTATTTCCAACAAGCCTCCCAAGTGCTCCAGCAGGCCCTTTCATGACTCTTCTTACCTTTCTGCAGGGCTCTCAGCCACTGGCTCCGGCTCTCTTCGTTTGATGCATAGATGTAGAGAAGGCCATCTTTATAGACGATCTGAAAAGGTAAAGATGTGGTGAACTTAGAACCGCATCTGTTCTCCTCACCAATGGCAGCCTGTCTCTTAACCAAAAGCATCCTTGGGTTTTCTTCGGCAAACTATGTGTTTTGGGTTTTGGGGCTTTTGTTGTTGTTGTTATTTATTTGGGGGGAGTGCCCCATCCTTCAATTTTATTTTTTGATCTAAGACATTCCTACATTTTGGAAGATTGTAGCAAGGACGGAGCTAGCAGCAGTGGACATTAAGGTCCTAACAGGAATACCCTGAACCATGGAGGAGGAAATTGCTAGACATTGCAAGTGTTAAATATTAGAATATTTTGGTCCACTTACCTGCCCGCGACCTTTACGGCCCTCAGGAAAATGTTTCTCTCTTCTACTCTTACAAAAAAGACTGTGTAGATCACAACAAACTGTGGCTGACTCTGAGAAGAATGGGAATCCCAGAACACTTAATCTTGCAAATGGAAAACCTATACTTCCTATACTTGTACCAGGAGGCAGTCATGAGAATACAGCAATGAAACACTGCATGGCTCAAAATTGGGAAGGGTGTACACCAGGGATGTGTCCTATCTCCACACCTTTTCAATCTAAATGCAGAACAGATTATCCAGGAGGCTGAGCTGTATGAGGAGAAGTGTGGCATCAGGATTGGAGGAAGATTCAACAACAACCTGTGTTATGCAGATGACACAACCCGGCTTGCTGAAACTGGGGAGAACCTGAAGCGCTTGCTACAGAAGGCCAAGGACTGCAGCCTTCAATATGGATTGAGGCTCAATATCAAGAAAACAAAGATTCTCACTACTGGGCCAATTGGCAGCATGATGATAGATGGTGAAGAGATTGAGATTACTAACAGCTTTAGTTTGCTTAGCTTCATAACCAACACTCTTGGCACCAGCAACCAGGAGATTAAAGGACATATTGTAATGGGGAAAGTCTGCTGTTTGGGACGTCTCCAAAGTACTGAAGAGCAATGATGTCACTCTGGAGACTAAGGTGAGCCTGATACAGGTCATGGTCTTTGCAATCATTTTCTATGCGTCAGAGAGCTGGACAATGACTAGGGAGGACAGAAGGAGAATGGATGCCTTTGAGCTGTGGTACTGGAGAAGAGTATTGAGTGTACCACAGACTGCTAAGAAAATGAACAGGTTTGACCTAGAGAGGGTTAAACCAGACTGTTCCTTGGAGGCAAGGATTCTGAAGCTTCATCTGACATATTTTGGACATGTTTCAAGGAGGTGGAGGGACAGTGCAAGAGAGGAAGATCCTCTATGAGGTGAATTGATTCAGTGACTGGGGTAATGTGGGTAGGTGTATCAGAGACATTATGATTGGCACAGGATAGGGCAGGGTTTAAGCCTGTTGTACAAAGGGTCTCTATGAGTTGCAGGCAACTCAACGGCACATAATAACAACAACTCTTACAAATACCTCCAGGGCAGTACATCTTCAATATACTGCCCTCTTTGCCAATGTCCATGTTGTTGTTGTTGTGTACCATCAAGTCAGAACCCACTCATAGCTGACCCTCCAGCAGGGTTTCAGAGGCCGTTAATTGCATAAGAGGGGATTAGCCTATCTATCTCCTGTAGAGCAGCAGGTGAGTTTTAGAAATCTGTGTCTTTGGGTTGCCAGTGCAATTCCTTACCACTAGACCACCAATGCTCCCTAACAGACTAGTCATTATAGTGGTCATGCTTCTGTGGAGTGAAACCACATGTCCTTAACACTTCGGTCTCTTGGGTATAAGCCCCATTCCAGCATTTCCCAGAATAAATCACTTTCTATTACTCAAGACACCCTCTTTCAACATTTGAAGATTACAATTCCTTCCTCCCATGCCTCTAATGGATTCAACTCTTACTGGCAAATAAAAGCATGCCATTTTCAGAATGCCTACCAGTTGCCAAAAGGGTTCTGGTGGCAAGGTGTGTTAGGTGTTATACTGCCAACCGCTGCTAACCTAAAGGGCAGAGGTTCAAATCCACCAACTGTTCTTGGGGAGAAAGATGGGTAGTCTCCTCCCAAAATTACTTACAGCCTTGGAAATATGATGGAGGATTTCTGTGAGTCAAAATCAACTCAACAGCAGTGGGAGTGACACTAGCTGCTAAGTTTTTCCACCAGCTATTTTAATATTTTAACTATGTTTCAATTTGATGAAAAGTAGGATTATATTTCTTTTGTAAACAAGGAAATAAATTTAGAGAGAGATTGATGATACTGTATAGTTGCACTGGTACAAATAGAGACCACCTCTCTGTTGTGGGTGTAAATCATCTTTCCTTATGCACGCTCTTCCCTGGTTTCTCCCAGTTAGGAGAAACATTGCTTCAAAATGGCAAGGATGAGTTGTTCATCAACTGGATTCTTTTATTCTAGGCTACAGGCCCCTAACCTCCTCTTAGCATTATCCTTTAGCTCAGAGAGTCGAGGGTTCTTGATAGAATAAAAGGAGGGCATGATCCAGGTTAAGCCACTTCCAAAGGGTAGCTGCAGACACTCTGATAGCATGCTGTTGCTGTAACAAGTTCAGGCTGTCACAACAAGGCCCTCCCACCTCTCCAGCTTTAGCTCCTTTTTCTTTCTGTCTGTCTGTCTCTCTTTCCTACATCCAAAATTTTTTTAAGCTGTGCTTATCATTTTTGGTTTTGCCTTTGTTGTTGAAATCATCACTGATTAACATGCACAATCATGAAAAAAGAAAAAAAATTAATTTTTATATTTGTGTGTGTGTGTACCATCAAATCTGATCTGACTAGTACAGGAGGAGATTGTCTCTCCTTCTCCAACAGAGCATCTGGTAGATTGGAACCACTCACCTCTGGAATTACAGTGCAACTTTTTGCCAATAGGCCACCAGAGCTCTCTATACTTAGACCTTTTTCAATGTCCTTCACCCATCCATCCCTTGTTACCTGCTCTTTCTTTGGTCCCAGCCTCACTTCCCACCTCTACTGAGCTAAGTTCTGCTTGTGCTCCTCATCCTGTCACCTCCAAAAGAAAGTCCCCCTGATTTATTGGCGTGAAAAGCAATGGTTCCACTTCCATGGCATCATGGCGTCCTCTGTGAGCGCCATCTAAACACTCCCCCTCCCAGCACTGAACAGTGAGCTTATTCATTTCTTTTCTCATTTCCCTGTATTGATCTTGGGTGTAAGGACAGTGTTTTATTCTTCCTAGTGTGCCTTCTACCATGTATCAGAGATGTTCAACAATGCTTGATGTAAGAGGACATCACACCACGACTTAGGTTGTATTACTGCTGCTCGCATGCCCAAAACACACCCAAAAAGCCAGATGCCACCACTTCCTGTTCACAGGGACCCTGTGCGTGTAAAGTACAACTGCTCTTTTGGGCTCTCAAGGCTGTGACATTTCTGAAGCAGATCGCCAGTTCTTTCTTCCAAGGTGCATCTGGTTGGGTTCAAATGATCAACCTTTCAGTTAGTAGCCCAACACTTAACCATCTGCTTCATCTCCAAGCCTTTTCCATGGTCTTGTTGAATCATTTTATAGTGCCACTGTTTAACCAAAAGATGTAAGTGCACAGGAGAAAATGCTAAAGAAAGAACCTTCTAGATGAATGGGCTGCCATGCTTCCCCCTACCTGAAATGGGTATTGTCTCTCCACGGGAGTCTGTTCCTCGAGGTTCACCTTCTCCACACATCTGATTTTCTTAATCTCAATGGATCCTTTTCTGCTGCCCCTTTTCTGAATTAAAGGAAGGCAAATGGTGAGATATTTGTGTGATCCAACATGGAACATAAAGAAAAGCAGGAAGCTAAGCTTGTGCTTAAGGGGAGCCTGAGGACGGGGTACAGGGGGGGGGGTTGGACATAGTCCTAAAGTATGGACAGGTACTCAGATTCCTCCGAAAGTGAGTCTTTTAGGTAGCACTCAAGAACTTCGTTTGCTAATCTGGAAATGTGTTCCTAACTGCCTGCCGTGTGACTCGTCTACACGGGTAAATGGAGCTCTAACTATACAAAACTTCTTCATTTAGCTTCAATTCGAGGGCAGTCTCATCTTAGTGTAATAGAAATTCCATTCACAATGGAATATTATGTGGCACTGAAAAACAAGGAACTCATGCAATATTATTCAAAATGGGTGACCCTGGAGGACATTATGCTGAGTGAAGTATCTCAGTCACAAAAAGACAAATAC